TTTACGAAAGTGAGACGACGAAAAGCGAATGTCCGGCGCTTTAACCGGGTTGGTGGACAAGGCGAGTCCACCTAGGGGAGTTGGAAAACCCTTATTACAAACCAATGGTGCACATGGGCTTCAGTATCCTGAAGGAACAAATAGCGCATGAATCAAACGTTGGTCACCGGTTACCATGGGACTGCATCTCCTTACGATGCTCCACTGCACATGGATTAGACCTTTAGGTGAAAGGCTCCGGGTGTGACCCCTAAGAAAATCACCTGTTTCGGTTTGGGCACCTGGGCATTATCACAAATCAAATGATATTTGTGTGGCGCATATATATTTGGTGCCCTTTTGTACCAATATTTATGTGTTCAACTAAATAAATAAATAAATATGATTACTTACTTACTTACTTACTTACTTTCGCCTGTTACTCCCAATGGAGCATAGGCCGCCGACCAGCTTTCTCCAACCCACTCTGTCCTGGGCCTTCTTTTCTAGTTCTTTCCAGTTCTTGTTCATTCTTCTCATGTCTATCTCTATTTCTCGGCGTAATGTGTTCTTTGGTCTTCCTCTTCTCCTTCGACCTTCAGGATTCCATGTAAGGGCTTGTCTTGTGACACAATTGGGTGATTTCCTCAAAGTGTTCCCAATCCACTTCCAGCGCTTCTTCCTGATTTCTTCCTCCGCTGGAATCTGGTATGTTGTCTCCCACAGTAACTTGTTGCTGATAGTGTCTGGCCATGGGATCCGAAGTATCTTGCGTAGACAGCTGTTAATAAACACTTGTATCTTCTGGATAATGGCTTTCGTAGTTCTCCACGTCTCTGCCCCATACAGAAGAACTGTCTTGACATTTGTATTGAAAATTCTAACCTTGGTGTTGGTTGACAATTGTTTTGAGCTCCAGATGTTTTTCAGCTGTAGGTATGCTGCTCTTGCTTTGCCGATCCTCGCCCTCACATCTGCATCTGATTCACCGTGTTCATCAATGATGCTGCCCAGATATGTAAAGATTTCCACATCCTCCAAAGCTTCTCCGTCAAGTGTAATTGGATTGGTGCATATTGTATTGTATCGGAGAGTCTTGCTTTTCCCTTTGTTTATATTGAGACCTACTGCTGCTGAGGCTGCTGCTACACTGGTCGTTTTCTCCTGCATTTGTTGTTGCGTTTGTGATAGAAGAGCCAGATCATCCGCGAAGTCTAAATCGTCAAGCTGCATCCTGCCTGTCCACTGTATCCCGTGCATTCCTCCATATGTTGACGTCTTCATGATCCAGTCGATGACCAGGAGAAAGAGAAAGGGTGAGAGTAAGCAACCTTGTCTAACACCGGTCTTTACCTCGAACGAGTCGGTGAGTTGTCCTCCGTGGACGATTTGGCAGTTTAGTCCATCGTAGGAGTTCCGTATGATATTTACTATCTTCTCAGGCACACCGTAGTGTCGAAGAAGCTTCCACAGTGTCGTCCTGTCCACGCTATCAAATGCCTTCTCGTAGTCGATGAAGTTGATGTACAGTGATGAATTCCATTCGATTGATTGTTCCACAATGATACGTAGAGTTGCGATTTGATCTGTGCACGATCTATCCTTACGAAATCCAGCTTATTGATCTCGAAGTTGGGCGTCTACGTAATCCTTCATCCTGTTTAACAATACTCGGTTGAAGACTTTCCCTGGTATTGAGAGGAGAGTGATGCCCCTGTAGTTGTCGCACTTGCTGAGATCGCCTTTCTTTGGTATTTTGATAATAAGTCCTTTTTTCCAGTCTGTTGGTACTTGTTCTTCGTCCCAAATCTTACTGAAGAGGATGTGTAGTATCTTGGCAGTTGCTGTTACATTTGCTTTCAGTGCCTCTGCCGGGATGTTGTCTGGTCCCGCTGCTTTGCCACTCTTGATTTGTCTAATGGCCATGCTGATCTCTTCAATTGTTGGTGGGCCAATATCGATTGGGAGGTCTGTGGGTGCTGCTTCGATGTTGGGTGGGTTCAGTGGAGCTGGTCGATTCAAGAGTTTTTTGAAGTGTTCTACCCACCTGTTTCGTTGTTCTTCAATATCGTTGATTACTTTGCCTTCCTTGTTTTTCACTGGTCTTTCTGGTTGACGGTAATTTCCAGCAAGTTTCTTTGTTGTATCATACAGTTGTCTCATGTTTCCCTCTCTTGCAGCCTTTTCCGCTGTCGTTGCTAAATCTTCCACATATTTACGTTTGTCAGTTCTGATGCTCCTCTTCACTTGCTTGTTTGCCTCTGTGTATTCGGCTTGTGCCTTGGCTTTTTGCGCTCTTGTTCGGCTGATATTGATTGCTACCTTCTTGTTCCTCCTTGCTTCAATTTTATCCAGTGTACCAACAGTGATCCATTCCTTGTGATGGTGCTTCTTTTGGCCCAGAACCTCTTGACATGTTTAAACGATTGCCTCCTTGATACCTTTCCAGTCTCTCTCCATTGAGTAGATCATGAAAGGCCTGGAACGTGTTGCTGAGGGCAATGTTGAATTTGTTGAGTTTGTCAGCATCTCGAAGAAAGGCCGTGTTAAACTTTTGTGATGTTGTCCGCGCCATTGTCCACTGCTTCTTGAGTTTTAGTTTCATCTTGGCGACCAGCAAATGGTGATCGGATGCTATATCAGCTCCTCTCCTGGTTCTCACATCCTCCATCGTCCTCCTGAACTTTTTGTTGATGCAGACATGGTCGATTTGATTCTGTGTAGTGGGATCCGGTGAAATCCAAGTGGCTTTGTGTATGTTTTTGTGTGGGAATATGGTGCCACCTATGACCAGTTTATTGAAGGCACATGGGTTTGCAAATCTCTCACCGTTTTCGTTCCTTCCTCCCAGTCCATGTTGTCCCATGACGTCTTCGTATCCAGTGTTGTCCATTCCAACCTTGGCATTGAAATCTCCCATTAGAATGGTCAGGTCCTTGGTTGGGCACTTCTCGAAGATTGACTGCAGCCTATCGTAGAATTGGTTTTTAGCGTCTTCATCGTAGTCGTTGGTCGGCGCATAGCATTGGATGATGTTCATTGTAATGCCCTCTCTCTTTGTTCTGAAGGAGGCTTTGATGATCCTCGGTCCATGAGATTCCCATCCTATAAGTGCATTTTGTGCTTTTCTAGACAGCATCAGTGCCACTCCTTGTGTATGTGGGGCATTTTCTTCTTCATGACCGGAGTATAACAGAAGTTCCCCTGAAGACAGTCGTTGTTGTCCAACCTGCGTCCAATGTGTTTCACTGATTCCAAGCACTTCCAGGTTGTATTTCCTCATTTCCGCAGAAATTTGGAAGACTTTTCCGGTCTCCCACATAGTTCGGACATTCCATGTACCTATAAAAATTGTCGCTCTGGTTGTAAGAAGGTGCATCGGCCTCATGACTTCCGAAGGAACTCGGCTTTCATCATGAGACGTCATTTTTCCTTCTACTCCCAGGGCAGAGTTTGAATGGTTTGAATGAATTTTTCTGGTTAGCGTTTTTTTAGCGAGTTGATTTTCTACGGGATGGGGTCGCTAACCCCATGCCCAACCCTCGTCCTTTTTGTGGGCTTGGGACCGGCAGTAGCCCCTGGAGGAGCTACAGGCGGAGTTAAATAAATATGATTATTGCAATAAATTATTCTATTCTAATTGTTGTTGATATGCAATTACTCTCTGTTTTGATAATAATAGTAACAAAAGTAAACTTTAATAGTCATTAAAATATATATTGGATAAAAGTAATTACTATATGATAATGAATTGGTCAATTTGAAATCGGTTTTCTATTAAAACCTTGAAATAGAATTGAATAATTGTTTTATATATCCTGTCTCTTTAGGTTTACATTGAATATTATAAATGTTTAGATAAAACATTAATAAACATACAATATATCCGTTGATATTATATGTGTGTGTTAATGACACTTGAAAGTATGTAATTGAGCCAGGAATCAACAATTTATCATGTTGACCTTATATTGCTCATATTTCATAAGTTAATTAGTTCACGTTAAAATAGCAAGGGTTGTTTTCAAAATCATTGTCTATATGTGTAAGTTTGATTTCCTGTTTGTATTGACACGAGTTTATTTATTTGATAACGTCATGAGTTAAATTAGTTTAACCTCTCAATTATTTGACATGAAATTCTACTGATAGATGTGTTTATTTTATGACAAAACAACAAGAAATAATTATGATCAGAATGGAGTTTGTGGAGATTGTAGTAATTTTAATAGTTGAACGCGCACTGCTGATGAGTTTCATACTAGGACGAAACGATCGTCTAGTGCTTCCAGGTTTTCAATGATGGTCTAGCTTATATCGACTCATGAATTCAAGTATTAAAAAAATAAATTCACTTGGTATTGTTTGGTTGAATCTTCCCATTGATGTTTAGGACTACAATTGATCAGTCTCTTATTGACATATGTGCATACTCTGCTTATCGCCTCGATATTGCCTTAATTCACAAGCATTATAACACAGAGATGGTTATCAGGACTCAGTAGTTAAGTGGATAACGCGATGGCGTTTGAAGCGAACGGTACTGGGCTCGAGTCCCAGAGTGAACATCAACTCTGAGATGCAGGTACATCCAACTGACGAGTCGCGAATACGACAAAACGCGCGTCTCGTATTCCACTATTAGTCACTTTTTAATTTATTAAAATATCTTACAGCTAGATTTGATATTAAATCGCTGTCATTCAGACTGAATTTCTCGAAAATTGCTTTAAAAAGTGCCTAGTCATTCACTAAGTACTTGATTATGAGCCACACCTTAACTTTGAAAGGTAAGGATACTACTCGGTTGCCCCAAACTGAAGTAGCTAAGGCGGGATTTAAACTTGGATTTTATTGACCGAAAGTCAACATACAATATACATAGAAATGCAAACCCTATCTTTTATAATCTTGCACTATTGATGTCTATCTTAATCGCTTATTATCAATATTAACTCAATGTATCTTTATAGATAATTGTTTTCATATCAGTGTAATTAAGATTATTATTATTTTTTTAGGCGGCTTTATGTCGATTACACGGTCTCTCTATATATTCATATATATGGATAATGAATACATTATTATGGAATGATTTATTCAAGAGAAAATCCATTCTTAAAACATCTCGTATACTTGTATTAAAGAAACATGCATATTTCTTATATGCTGAAGATCAATGTATACAAAAAGATAAATTATTCAATGATCATTCTTTATCAATTATACAAAGTTCTGGATTGAAACAAGTAAGTAAAGGAAGTAAAAAAAAAAAGGAAGACGAAATAACGAGGCAAATTTATCGGTAGTTATTATATATTCAGACGGATAACGATTAATAGATAGATACAATTATATAACTTTTATAGTTTTTATATTCTACTTTATTTGATCATTAAAACAAATTTGATACTTGAAAGATTAAAAGAATAAATTTTCATAATAGTTTATATCATACCAAAACACTTTAACACAACAATTTTTTGTTGTTGTAATTGGCTATCTCTTAGTTCTTTGTAAACGTATACAAGATGTTCGGATTTTGCAAAACAAAAAAACTTTTTCTGAAAAATTAAATACACCCCTATACACTAAGTTTTTAGTTTGAAAATTAATCTTTAAAAGTAAACTTATTTTTCATTGTATCGATAAATGGTTTTTGTAAGAATGGCTCGTTGGCAAACTCAAGAAATCCTCAAGAAGCTCAGAAAAGAGCCGAAGACATTCCATCCAATCACCACCGCTATAGGAACATTCTAGAATGCCGACGTTTAGCTCCCCTATTGGATGAATAAGAAGGCTTCCCTATGTGCCTATTGGCTGTCTGAAATGATGATTTACTTTCAGCCAAAAACTATGAATACATGAGATTTTCGTACTTTATTTAATACTGTTTTGGGAATAACTTTCCTACTTACTAGTCTTCTATCTTGGCTCTTGCGACGTTACTGTTTCGATCGTTCAAGTAGTCTAGTAGTATGCGGCATAGTAATGTGGTGTGGTCTACTTATATCCATATAAGTAGTATATGGTGTGGGTCAGACATAGAATGTATTTCGGCAGAAGACCGATGAGCAAAGAACTGAAATGAAGCGCAATCGTTTGGAAAATGCATGAGCAATGAAATTAGAGAAGAAACAGAGAAGATTGAAACAATTGGTTGTTAATTTGCAAATTGACTGTTCATTGTTTGGTTATCAGAATTTACTGAGATAGTCTGTAATTTTTGCCTAATTACATTCGATTGTCCCCAACTAGTGTTTTGTTCACTACAGTAAGAATCTAAGCTCTAGATATAACACTAATCAATATTCATATCTTGAAAAAAAAAGAAAACAAACTTTGTTTCAGCTTTTACACTGTACTTTGTAAATCTTTAGTTAGAAATGAATTTTTTTTAAAAAGATTTATTTTTTGGTACAGTATAGAATTGTCAGCACAAAGTATTTCAGCGAGTTCCCGTTTCTGATTTCTTGATCGATATTGACGAAAAATATTGGGTGATCACCAGTTATATATTAACATTTCATAAGTCGTCATCTGAATAATATTCATTCTTTTCAATGTACATTGGCAGCCATCACGATGTCACCTATTGTGCATTTTTGTAACTTGTACAACGAAAGGTCGTAAACTTATCACAAACGCACCTGAATAGGTTATGCAATTAATTGACATAATGATCTGTTAAAACAAACAAGGAAACAGATAACTTGTTGAAATATATAGATGGCAGGAACAGGTAGCCCAGATATTCAAACAGATTACCTTGCAATTTTTCGCGATAGTTACATTTTTCTTGTTACATTTTATTTGATGAGTTGAATGACCCTGAATGGTTGTTTTTTATTCTTTTATTTAAACACATAAGCATTGGTACAAGGAGACATCCAATACATATGAACCACACTTCATCATTCGTTTTATTTGTCAGCTGGAATACTGCTCGGGAGCCAAAACCAAAGCGGCTAATTTTTTTTAGGTAGCCAACTCCCCGATCCTTTGAACTAGGGGACTAATCCTTAAGGCAGTGAAGCAACATTAGGAGATCCAGTCCCGTGGTATCCGGTGACCGACAATAGTTTCACACACTATTTGTTCGTTCAGAATCCTGAAGCCCATGTGTACCATTGGTTGAAAATGGGGACTTTTCAACTGTCCTAGGTTGATCCTCCGTATCCAGCAACCCGGTTGAAACACTGGACATTCACATTTCGTCCTTTCAATTTCGTAAACCATACCCCTGCAGCGAGAAGGCAGTGAGTGAATGAATGTCTTATACTACATCTGACTTATTATTTAGTTGTACTTTTATAAATACTGATATTCTCACCACGACTTAAATTTAGCTCTCGAATCTTCAAATAGTGTTATTATCCAATGGATAACCAACATATGCTTTGTATGCGGTAGTTATTCATTGTTTGGAATGTTTATTTATTTTAGTTTGCTGACTTACGGACTAATGTTTTATTCGTTTTGTTCTATTTTTGACAATATCAACGTTTTTATCTTAGGTGTGTAGCATCTTCGGTTAGAAAATCACATTCCAATATCATTAATAAATTGGAGAGACATTTATTTTGTCAATAATCCCATTACCTATGAAATGTTTCTGAATTTTCTGTTTTGTTTATATGAATTTTTCATTTATTTTGAAGAATATTCCTAGTACTTAACTTCAAGTCAAAACTATACTCAGATTACTGGAATAATTTTTGTGTGGACTGTATTAACCTTCGGAGGAACTTTATGGATTATGTGTCCCTCAATCAAGATTTAGTAAGGTACAAATAACTGACGACTGTCAATCAATCATAGCCCATTAAAGTTATTACCACATTTTGATATGCAAACAACAACAAATTCATTTTCCAAGAGATCATATGATGTATTATGATCCTCTAGTTATGGCACTTAGTACCTTTGTGGTTACGCCAAAAGATTGGACTGCATTGTTCAGGTTATAAAGAGCCTTGATAACGTCTGATTCTCTTGAAAATCAATGTAAAATTATTCTCTTGGGTGTATTTACGATTGTGATTTTGTGTATGTCGATCTTTGTTTTTATTAGCTTTGTTTACTACGAGGAATTAATCCGTACTTATTAAATGATAAAGATGTAAAGGAAAAATTACAGTATTGGATTTCATCATCAACCCTTGCTTCAGGTAAGAAAAACAACTAAATTCTTAATGTTAATATTATATAAGTGTGATTAGTAGAGTTATTTGTATACTATAATGTTTGTATGGTGTGTTAATTATATTTAATTTACCTACGGAACAGTAAACAAAACAATGTTACCTCCGCGGGACTATCGTGACCAATGATTGGAGACTCTAGTTAACATGGTTCAAAATCGATCACAATGGCGTATGTGTATACACTCTTTGTCTTCCGTTAAACCGTGAGATTGAAATTGCTTTACACCTTTCTTTCTACGAAGTAATTTTTTTTCTTGTATTATATCCTTATACGCAATCTTCTTTTTATATATTACTACCACTGAAGTAACTTCTTCTATGAATTCGGTGTTCACGTGGTTGTGCTAATGAGGTGTGGCAACTTGGACTGATGCCTGGTCCTACGTTGTAACTGATTAACTGACCTCGTCTTTAGTGCTAATCGAATTCTATCAGTCACGTTTGTAGTGTCGTTATCAGTCTGAGTGATTTAATTTCATAGGGGAACATACTTGATGTAATGTATCATTTCATATTTTTCATTCTGTGATTTCGTTTTATCACTTCAAACTTTATGATCTAATCTAATTGTCTATCAGTCTCACTTTTAATGATTTTAGTTTCTTCCTTTTGTTATGCTGATGTGACTGTAATTTCGTGTGACCACAGAAAATGGTTCTTGAAATAGGAGACAACAGATATTTCCACTATGTTATAAAGAAACCGAAGATTGATGTTAGATGAAAATTTTATTCACCCTTCAAATGCCCGATGCCGAATACTTATCAACCAAACATTTTTACTTATATATAGATTTTACTGGAGATTTGGTCAACAACCTGTAAACATGTCTTTTTTATGTATCACCAAATCGTTTTAATCATATTCTGAAAACAATAACATAATGTATACCATTTTAAAGACATAATCATATTGATGAAAATAAGAATATAGCATGTAGAAAAGGCAAAATAGTTCAAAAGATATGATTTATGAATAGTTTGGGTTGAACATGTTTACACAAAGACTTTATTCACGTGAAGTATGCCATTCAAGTTAAATATTTAATCATAGGTTGTAACATTTTAGAGTACAGCATTTTTGTCAGAACTAAACACTGTTATAGTAATTAGTCTTGTAAACATAAAGTTATCTCTAGTGTGCAGTACAATAAGAACATAAGCACACTACGATATTGGTAGCTAGAACGTCCTGAACATTTTGGAATGATAGATACTTCATAGTATGCAGTTGTTGTAAATAATTATTTTCTTAGTAGAAGGACTGTTAAGTCATATTTCAGAGCGAAACTTGCTGCGAAGGATATGATTATATTAAGATTTTAATTCTTATTTTTTAACTAACTGGAATCAATGACTTTTCAACTTCTTGTTCATTCATTTAGTCTCTAAATAATAGTATCCGACTAACAGTTAGATTTTAATTGCTGAATATTATTACATGGTTTACACTACGGACTGATTTTAGTCAAACAACGTTTGAAACCAAGAAGCACTGAATATCTGTTTTTTATTCTTGTATGAAATTTCTGAAAATGTGAATTTATGACTCCTCTGCTGATTAAATTCAAAACTTTCAAGTTTCGTGACAAGCTCTTAACTTTTGAATTACGGAGCCGACACCATATGATTTGCACGTGTAATTTTAATCAATTCTCTACTGATTTTGAGAGGTAATCCTTAGGGTTCTAATGCGAAACATAACCAGTAGGGTTTAGCTATATTGAATATGAGGCAGTTACCCACCAATCGGCTTTAAATATGACTGCACATTGTTGTGAACTGATTCGTGCTAGATGCCGGATCAGTGATCTGAAGTTCGAGTGCTCTCTACGTAACCTGGAAGTTTTTTAATGCGACCCCCACCTAGGGTAGGGGAGTGGTCGTTTAGATAAAATTGTGGTTGGAGGTGGTCAACAGGAAACCCTGGACTCGTCAGCAAGGTGTACCTGTAATCTTGAGGGAATGGGTTCGATCCCGTGACACCCAGCTTCACAATCAGAGACGTTATTACTTATCTATTCGAGCCGCGACCGACCTCCTGTAGGACTGAGATTTAATCACAATTGATTGATTACTGGGTGGTGATCAATGTCACATACATACCACATTACACACACCTCAAAATTACTTGTGTAAATAAATCAATAATTGGAACTATCACAACAATCCCTTTGTCCAAGAGTTAGGATCATTCTTGTAGGCTTATAACAATACAACCTTGCATGAAAATGTTTCACAACTCACTTTGGCAATATGTAATTTTAATTACACTAATAATCATGCATGTTGAATAATTTTTCCTATTTGATTTTAACTAACATAACTAACTTATTTATTCTTTAAATTTTTCTTTTGTATAGGAATGGATTTCAGTTTTCGTTTGCACCTTCCCTTATTGTTGTACTACAATAATATTGATATTCATCATAATAGTATCGATAAACATTAATTCACAGTTGGTATGCTAAACAGATGAATTGTAGACTTTTTCATGTTTTTATATACTTACTTACTTTCGGCCGCCGACCAGGATTCTCCATCTAACCCTGTCCTGGGTAAACCTTTCCAGTTGTTCCCAGTTGTTATTCATTTTTTCCGTATCTGCTTCTATTTCCCGACGTAATGTGTTTTTTGGCCTTCTCCATTTTCCGCTTCCTTTCCGGATTCCAAGTTGATATTTTCATATAATTTATTATCATTAATAAAATCATATCATAGCTATTGTGTTGTTGATCTTGTGTAAATCTCAGTATGTTTGAATAAAAATTGAAAAAGTAATATCCAGTGCTCATAACAATTGAACATCACAGTTTATCTTCCCATTAATCGGTATTTGTTGTTTAAAGTTTGGATTCAACTGATTAAATAACGAAAACCTTAACCTTTCTTTATTATTAGTAAAGATAGTCCGAACAATTCATGAAACGTATACCTCCCGGCATTAGTTCTCACTCTATGTTCTCATATTGATAATTTCTTCCCTATATATGAACATGAACTGTGGCAAATTAGTGTCAGATATCAGATCCTATATTGTTAATGTTTCAGCTGAGATCTGTTGCTATGTAGTGGATGCTACTATGTTCTTAATGGCCCTGTTTATCATCATGTGATTAGATTGTCAACTAGAATACCGACTTATATGTCCTGGTCACTGCCAAACAAATGATGTGTTAACCAGTATGAGCAGCCTCGAGTCATTCTCTGAGTTCATATTGATTCTTCCAGCCTTGCCCTTCTCGGTGAGTCCAGAGCACAAATCTCAGCTTCCTCTGTATGAATCATGTATTTCAGACACATGCAGTTTATATACAGGTAAATCAGACTGCATCATACTATAAAATAGGAAGTAACAATTATACAAAATCAAGTCGAAAGTGTCTGTGAGTGTGAGATACTGTGAATAATAGATTGGAGATAACTTATGAATAGTAAATCGTATAATAGTAGCCGATAGATCAAATAAAAGCTTGTAATAAGAGAAATATAAATATATGTAATCCAGTTACCTAATAGTTTTACACTAAGAAAAAATATATAATAATAGTCCATAAATAGTTCCTAGAATTTACCCATAATTTATTTTTGGATACGGCAGATGCTACTCACAACATTGCTCGTAAGTAGTATGTTGTGAAACATGGCCTCGAAGTTGTCGGACGGAATGAATAGTTTCGGCACGGCGTTGGCAGAACACCTGGAGACCAAATGTTTAGATTACAGAACACACCAAAACATGCAGGTGGATGAGTCATGGCTTTGTATATATATTATGCAAACACCTTGTAGCTTCTCAAAATAAATATAGATTCCATTTACCTATTGCCTTCTTTTACATTTCGTGTCGTTGTGTGAAACTCGTACTTGTAACAGGTGAAATAGTGATTCACATGACACTAAGATAAAAAGACAACGACTGACCCTTCAAAAGTCAGTTACAACGTAGGACCAGGCACATATATGCATCGGTCCAAGTTGCCATACCTCGTTAGCACAACAAGACGAACACCGGATTCATAGAAGTAGTTAATTTAGTGGTGGTATTATACAACAGAAAGGCTGTTTATAAGGATATAGTATAGGAAGGAAGAGAGATATGAAGCAATTTTAACCTCAAGGTGTAACGGGAGATAAAGAGTGTATACACCTGAGCCATGTCACCTAAAGTCTCCAACCATTGGTTGCGATAGTCGCGCGGACCCGAACCAAGTAGTCTGCATCTACCAACATGGCGGTAAGACTAAAAGCAGCAAACCCAAGGTCCGAAGGCGAAGTCGTACTGCTGACTGTACAGAGGTGTAACGGCGTTAAGGTGTTTCCTTCAGACAACCAGCATAACAGCGACGCTGCTTTCCCACAAGGAGGGGTGGGGTTAGAAATGGTTGACCCTAAAAATGCACACCTCGCCTTATCCCACGGATATCCGTCTGCGGCTAACATAAAAAGGTCATGTGTGACCAACCTCAAGCAGTTGTCCTTAGGTACTGCGGTCACGCTCCCAGGTCATTAAAACCACTTCTAACCCAATTTCCTTTTCAGGTACCTCTAGAAGAACCCTTCCTCGGTGTGGGCAACCAGGAAGTGATAACTGCCCTCATACCTCTAACAGCAATCAAGACCCTTCGAAAATATGATTTTAAGCAAACATACTCATTTATACATCTATTCTACTGACATTAGATGCTTACTTAGTGAACTTCACAATTAAAGGTAAATACCAAAACGAATTTTACTCAGAGTTACTACAAAATGAAATTTAAATGAGAGTAATACATAGAATATTTTACTGAAAAAATGTCATATTCAAATAAAGTGTTATGTTGACCAAAATATCACACTAAAAAAAGTGATATTCAACTGGACAAATATCATATTGAGTCAAAGGATAATCTTGTCATTTGGATCGTATCCTAACATTTGTTCTCTACCAAAAACTCAATTTGACCAATATCAGCTTGAAAAGTTCAGTTTTTGGTAGAAATTAACTACACTCCATGCAGTATGCTTGGTTATTGACAAACAAATCTGTCATCATATAAATATTTCATACTAGCAAAGTTTTTTATTGAAGACATTAATTATTCTTTAGTTGCATGAGATGTGTAATGTCATTTTCTAATCTGACGTTACATATGTTTATGAGTTCAAATGACAAAACATTTGGTTGCTAACTTCCCAAGAGTAACCATTATTAAGGAATATTTCACCATAACTATATAATTTTGAAATTCACAAAAATTATGAAGAAGGACCTGACATATATGACACTGGTCAATACCCAGTAATCAATCATTTGTAAATATATCTCACTCGTACAGGAATTCATTCGTGGTCCTGATAGCTCAGCGGTAACATCTCTGACTGTGAGGCTGCTTGATACGGAATCGAATCCCCCAGACACCATCAGTCCTATCAAGACTACTGGTACATCTTGTTTACGAGTGCCAAATAACACTAAACCTAGGTCACGCAGGGTATCCTATCGACTACCTTCAAACCCCAACTTACCTTACCAAGACATAATATTATATCATCCATTCAAAATGTTTCCAATTGAATAATTAAATAAAGTACTTCAACTTTGGTCCTTCCATTATCCCACAACTCAGAATATACATATTTGTACTATTACTATAACATTGAACAAAATTTATAATTGTTTATCAGTCATTAGAACTGTTTATTATGATTATTAAAATTGACTGTTTTCTCGAACAATTAATACAGTCCTTCATTGAATGAAAATATTGCCTAGTAAATAGTTCATGTTATCCTTAAACCTAATGCTTTAAATAAAACACTTCATTTTATATCTAACACTACAGAACTGTTTGTTTTATTATATGTATATGTTATTTGAATGACTTCGGAAACAAAGTTTTATAAATGTCGTTTACTCTCTCCAAAAAATTGATTTCTTTGTTGAATAACCATGTTTTTGTTCGCATATATATATGTACCTATCTTTCATATTCGTTTCTTTTCCTAGGAACTAATCATCTTTAATTGTTTATGTTGATGTAAAACACCTGGTATTGTTTTCCTATGAGACACTTTTATTTCTTTGTTTATATATATACATATATATAATCTTTTCTTTTTCATTCTTTTACATCACTCTCTAATTTCCTGTTATTTAAAGAAAACCACTTGCTGCTTTTAAAGTAACATTTCATTTACATGTACTTGTCAACCGTTCACCTCGATAAGTTGGCGTAGGCTGAAAAAAAGGCTAGAACGCGCATTAGTTCATAAAGTCATGAATAGTTAAATTGAGCCATGGATTATCAGATTGCATTTTGCACGAATTTTATATCCATCTCTGCTAACCATGCTTGTGAATTAAGGTATATCGAGGCAATACGCACAGTATGCACATATGCCAATTAGAGACTGACCAGTTGCAGTCCTAACAAATCGATGGGAAGATTCAAACAAACAATACTAAGTTGAATTTAAACTTCACCCCATCGCACAAGCAAGTGGCTATCAAAACTCATTGGCCGAGTGGATAACGCGATGACGTTTGAAGCGAGGGTACTGGGTTCGAGTCCCAGAGTGAACATCAACTCTGAGATGCAGGTACATCCAGCTGACGAGTCCCAAATAGGACGAAACGCGCGTCCTGGATTCCACTGCTAGCCACTATCCATCTCTGCTAATTATAACAAACGGTTTGAAACTTTGACTGATATAATTTAAAATTGTTTGCTGTTATGCTGATACACCTACTTCTTATCTTCTTTTAGTCCTGAAATCATGAAATCTTCTTAAACCCTTTTTGGTTTCCTTCTTTTATACACCTAATTTTTTCTAATACTACTCTGGTATTTACATCGATCATTTTATTTTGCTGTACTAATGTAATATTTATTTTATTTAAATATATGAATATTGGTACAAAGGGGCACCAGATAAAT